TGTAGCAGTCCAACCGACTCGTGGACTGTCCGGACGGTAGCACTGTCATTTAGACGCCTATGCACTGATCGAAAATAAACATACATGCATACACTGTAATTTACTATGTGGAGAACACTCATTTTATCTGTAAAGTTGATTGCAACGAATTGTGCAACAAATGAACTTGCCAAGACAGACTATAAAAAATTAATTTTCTATGTAATATTCTTAATTGCAAAGAAGCCAAATCTGGCAATGTTGCTCAGAACTGACTAAAGCGCCACTTGTAATCGTCCAATGCGCCAAGTTTGGCGCATGCGCCACGGTTTGGCCACCCCTGGAATAAACTATTTCAACTAACTAAATTTATTCAACTCTGCTTTATAATTGTATAGTTTCACATACAAAATTAAAATATTTATTAATAAGCAATGCATTGTTATTTAATTTATAGTTTCATAAAGTAATAAATTTCCATTTTAAAGAATTTATTAATCAATTCTGACATTTCAAGTTAGAAAAAGAATTATTATATTTCAAAGAAATTTATTTCTATTTCATTATTTACCTGGTCTGAGGTTCTGTACTATTTTGTTTATCATTTTGACTTGATTGGCAGGTAGATGAATAAGAACCTATAATAAATTATTAATTTTTAATTGATATTTTACAATAGCAAAATTTATTATTCTTTATTTAATTACTTAATCTTAAATAAATAATTTGAACTCAAAAAATGATTAAAGACTAAGGAATGTATACTAAATATACACCAAAACAATTCTACTTTTAAGAAAATAAAAATTTATTAAATAATGTTCATTTACTTTTACAAAGTCAACTTTTATGTTATATGCTGTGATTTTAATCATTTATATATTGGAGTTATCTAAAACACAATTTTTACTAAATAAAATGTCAGTATAGTAATGACGTATGAAGCATTTATTAAAGAACTAGCTGCAAGGACCCGCTTCGCTGGGTTTTTATTTGTGGGCAAAAAGTAACGATAGTGAAGATTAAGATAATTATATTATAGCCAATCTTACCCATTTTCACAGAATGCAAGAATTAGGTCCCCCGTTTCCAGACTAATTAGAGAATTGTTATGTCCAGTCAAACGAACTATTTTCAATTTGATCAATTTTCTGAAACGTTTACAATCGTTCTATAATCGAACCAATTCGAATTTGAAAATTTTTTAAATCGAAATAGAAAATCTTCCACTTTCAACCACTTTCAAGCCCATATCTTCCGCACACTTATAGCTATCGAGACGCAACCACCATAGTGCACGAATGGAGACTTGGGGCTACTACCACATACAAACACCATTCATGTGTGATGTGTAGTTTTGTCTGAAAAGTGAAATATAGGGACACACAAGTCCATTTATATATATATAGAGATTATTTATAAAACCTAACATAGTTATGATAAGATTTTTTAAGGCTGATTGCAACTTCTTTGGTAAGGCAGATGATCTCCAGGAAGTGGCATTAAAATTTTTTTTTTTTTTGCTATGGAAAAATCCTTTTTCAAAAATTCTCAAAAATGCAAATATACAGAATGAAACAATTTTTGCATTAGAATCAAATTTAATTCTTCTACAGACAATTCAAAATTGTGAAAATTACTAATTATATAGGATTCTAATGTAAAAAAGTGATTCTGTCTGCTTCTAGTTTTTTGAGTGTTTTCAGAAAAGGATTTTTCTATAGAAAAAGCATTAAATATTTATCACAATCTGCTAGAAAATGAATGCATAACCAAAGAAGTTACAATTGGCCTTAATAATATATTTTATTACTATTTATTTATTGATCAATGAATTAATGAATCAATCAAACAATCAAAACACAAAATTGTTTTTGGAAACCAAAAATTATTCATTTTGAAGTTTCTTGGTCTTCTAAAGTAAGCAGCTTTATTTTTCAATTTATGAATCTTAAGTAACCTTTACATGCTTAGATTTTGTTCAGGTTCATCTGTGCAGACCAAATTTGCACTGATGGTATGCACATCAGTCTGCATGGTTCACTTTTGCCTTCACACATTCCAACCTCAATCAAGCATCACACAGTGTAGAGTTAAAATTCTGCAAGTGTAATATGCTTTTTAAAAACTGTGATCATGACAACTCTTCCGTATGCACTCCAGATGTTATTAATGATTTTTACTGCAGTTTCCCAATCTGCATTTCATTCAACTTCTTGACATTTGAAAACTAATTTATCATAGGCTGCATTTTCTTATTTCAGTCACTGTATTCTTTGTTCTTGACCTTCCAAACAGCAGATAATATTCTATACAGTTTTATAAATGCACTCATATTCAAATGTAAATGTATTCTGAGAATCATACTAATTTCTAAACACATAACATACTAATATAAGGTAAAGACAAAATTGTGCTATTAGCCTGTGGCATAGTCTGTATCATCTTCAAATGTTCCAACATGCATGGATTTGTGTTTGCATAAATTCAAGCATCATCAGATTTTGCACAGGCCAAACACAGACCATACTACAAACCAATTTTTGGTCAACAGCACATTTACATACTGATAAACACTTGAAACAAGAAACATTTTATCAAAATAAATTGCTTATTTCTTAGAAGAATGTTAAAAATTATCTTAGTAATTTTGAACCAATCTTAATGAAATATAAAGTTATAAATCTTCTCCAAAACTTAATAAAAATTTCAGTGATTTGAGTGTAAAATGAATAATTCTATGCAAATATTCAAAGTTGTAAATCAGACAGGACTCAATGTGCAATTTGAGAGATGAAAGTCAGGTTGAGAGCACTTTGCAGGCTGTAGTAAGTAGAAAAACAGATAAAAACAATTCATCAGGAAAGTAACAAAAATATGAAGTAGATGAATATAAATTTTATAGGAATGGTTTAATATATTGTAATATAATGTAATGATAAAATGCATTTAATATATTGTAATAAGCTATTATTTTATATAGAAACTTGACAACCATGGGTAATGCAACGTGAAAAAAGAACTTACTTGGCTTATTGCAAGAAATATTAAATGCATTAAGACAGTTATTGTTAACTGTAAGATCCTGAGAAGCCTAAAGCTAAGTGTACTAAAATTATCATCACCACTGCTAGAGGACTTGTGGAATTGTTATTACCTCAACAGCGTGTGAAGGGACAGAAAGAAATTGACTCATCCTGTACGTATAGTCTCAAGAAGTATAATTTTTTGGCAATAACCAAACACCTTTTTCATTGCTGAGAAAGTTTATTTAAAACAAATGTACGTTTGTTTTAAATAAACTTTCTCGGCAACGAAAAAGGTGTTTGGTTATTGTCTAATCTTTTGCTGGGCACATTCTATTTAATATAATAATTTTTTGTTAAATTCATCCTGGCAAATTTTTTTATAATGATACTGTTAAATCTTTTCATTTGCCTGTAAAGCACAATTTACACTGGACGTGAAACATAACAAAGTGAAGAGAGCAAATGACAAAACATGAGCATATGTGATCTTGTGAACAGTTAAAAATTTTCATGTCAGCCAATGGGAGTACACAATAGCTAGGTGTGTTGGCAATAACAAGCCAAGGAAAATGTTTTCATCTCAAATAGAGTTCTCACAGCAGAAAAAAAAATTCATATTGAAAATATTACTCGTATATAATTTAATTTTGATAAACCTACACAATACAATAAGCAGAAAAAACATTAACGTGGTAACTGCAGTATATATCAAATTTTTTTAAACGTTCTCTATTTGTAAAAGTGAAAAACTACAAATCGTGACCCCACTTACCACTGCTTGCAGTGTAAACAAAATTCACTTTGCTTGCCTTGTTTGCTCTGTTCACTCTCTTCATTTTTGCACCCTTTGCATCCAGTGTAAATCACACTTAACAGCTTGCTGAGACAAATACTGAATGACAGCAACATTTTTAGGTATTGCAAAAAGAAATGTGCACCATTGACGAGGAAACACAAGGAAGCCAGATAGAAATTTGCTAAAGAATGTCATGATTCAAGTGACAAATGAACAAGATAATATTCAGTCTCACACAAAAAAACTTTAAACAAGGTTGAAAATGTTTGTTCCATCAATAAATTTATCTTTACTGGATTTCAGTTGTTATGGAGTTATTAATAATAAATACATCCAAGTGATTCTTGAATGTATTTCGTCTTAATAATTTCCATTTTTAAAGTGATTCTTGTAATTTGGTATATTTAAAAGTGTGATTTGAATTGAGACCATTTGACTTACAAATGTAAAAACAAAAGAATCCATATAAATACTAAATTCTAATAATTTTGTCTCCTTTGGCAATGGCAACTAAAAATGTTACTTTGGCATAATTTTCACAAAGTATTGAAGCTCAGAAACAAAAATTTTAGACCAGAACAATAAAATTGCATTCTGAAGTTCACATTGTATTAAACTGACATCCATCAGCATAAACTAGATGAACAAGTATTGCCCAAATGTTCTCCATAGGATTTAATCAGGACTGAGTGCAGGCCAGTTCAAGACATGTGAGACCAGCTTAAACTGGCAAGCCAGTTTATTGTTCTTTAGGAGCTATAAACAAGAGCATTGTTCTGTTGAAAATTGAGTCCACAGAATGGTTAACTAAAATCAAAGGCTATCCTGAAGTGTCTTAATGTCCTTTTTTGAGTTTTGTTCACCTGACAAAAGCAATTTCATTTTTTTTCTTCAGCTGAAAAGTATACCCAGATCATTATGGAATGACCACCACCTTGAAAATAATTTTGGTTCATTTTTCAGTCAAAGCCAGTAATAATGACAGCCTGAACCATCCAGATTAAAGGTCATCATTAGATTTTAAATATAAATTTGAATTCTAAAGAAGGACTTATTTGATTTTTGGTTCCATCTTTAAAACCTAAGGATGACTTTTAAACAAGGCTGAAAACATTTGTTCTGTCAATAAATTTTCTTTACTGGACTTAGTGTTTGAGTTATTAATACTAAATTACTACTAGTTAAGTATATTTAATTTTTTTATTACTGATTTTTGTTTTGTATTACAGTGTTATGTATTTTTATACAATTGAGAAATTCTGAAACAGTCTTTAATTTGTGTAAAAATAAATTATTTTAATATGATCTTATTCAATTTCCAGATATAAAAATTTATCATCTAAAATTTATGTAGTACTCCCATTCCATTTTTTTTTTCCTGTTCTTTCTTCATCCTAAGCAATTATTATGCCTCATTTAAATACTATCACCAGAGGAAATAACGGTCTCGGTTTGCCAGATGTGCATCCAAAGAGGGTCAACTAGGCCATCATTGTGGAGCACCAATTGGGGAAAGATGTTTGTGATATGTCAAAAGGATATAAGAACAGATCAACTGAGGGGATGACATCTTTCTTTTTTCTACTCGATGGACTTCGTTTCGTCTGGAGTGACCACCGAGCTCAAGCAGGAGATTGCAGAACAAAAAAGATGAGCACATTTACTGACAACAAAGAGGAAGATTCTTGTTGGAAGTAAGGTGACAAAATATATACCGATCTAATACATACTTCGCATTGTAAAGACTACTTTGGACTTTCCTTCCCATTAAAATTAAGTGAAAATTCATGTTGTGTATTCATCCATGAAAATATTGAAGTTAAGTTTGTATATTTAGTATTTTAATATTAATATTGTATGTATAGTAGTATTTTATTGTCAGGATTTTTATGTATATTTGTATGTATAGAAGAATGTATATTATTGAATTGTATGTATAGTAGAATTGTCATGTATAGAATTGTATGCATAGTAGTTTTTATTGTCAGGATTTTTATGTATATTTAGCATTCTAGTTTATTGACATTTGTTGGCGTTTTTATTGTAAATATAACAATTTAGCTTATTAACATTGTCAGGATTTAATAGATATATTTAGTCTTTTAGTTTATTTACATTGTCATGATTAACTGTTATTAAATATTTTAATATATAATTCCTAAAAACATTCACTCTCATACAAAGGAATTACATTTAATATGTCATTTAAATCAAAAACAAATTACAGTCTAAATTATATGCAAACAAACAAATCAATGCTAAATTATTCACAAGCTATTTTTAAGATTATAATTTTAATCAATCAAAATTATAGTCTTTAAAATAGCTCATGAATAAGCCAGTAGTTGATTTGATATTGTTCACATCTAAATCAATTTGTAGAAGTTACGGATATTTTAAAATAATAATTATATTATTGTACTACTTAAAAAATTGAATTTTTAAAATAATAAATAACTTACTGGATAATTAATAAATGAAGATCCTAACAGTGGTTGCATCACATTATGAACAAACTGAATCTGATATTGCAGCTGTTTTAATTTATGATTTAAATCATTGTCACTCTAAAAATGAAAAATAAAATAAAATCTAGTTATAAAGATAATATGACAACAATAAATATCAAATATAAAATTATAAACAAGAAAATATATTTGAAAATATTATTTTAAAAGCATTTATAAATTATATATATAATATATAATTAGTCAAAAGTATATCATGTTTAGAAGCCAAACTGTAATTTATTCTGAATAAATGTTTTTGGAATACTAAATTCCAGCTTCAGTTACAAACATATTCAAACTGACAAAATAGTACAATAAGCATTATATAAAAATCAAAATTGCATATCGTTGGAAGTCATTTGAATTCTTAAAAGTTTAAATATAGAATACAGTAGTTCCAAATAATATAAATAAAATAAAAAAGTAAATATAACAAAATGTAAACCTCACATCAAATGCATCAATTGTCTAATTTATTGTACTGAAAGACAAAGCCAAACAAATTCAAAAAGGTGATTACATTAAGAGTTATTTTACTTTTATGCTCCTGCAGATAAAATTGCACAAAAACAAATGTATTTCATTCAAAATGTTATCCAGAATAATAAAAGCTCAAATTTATGCCTATTAAAACTTTTTATAACTATTTTACTAATCGGTGTATTGAAAGTGTTTGATTGGCAGCCATTGCTTTATGGAGTGCCAACTGAACTGTACAATAAGTCCAAATATTTTTACTAAGATTCACATTAGGCTTTGTGGAAACCATTTAAACACTGGAATGTTTTTTTACCTCAAAAAAGCATTAACATGTGATAGTAAGGAGTATTGTCATCTTGAAAAAAGTTATCTGAATCTCCAAAGTGATTATCCAATGTTTAAAAGGGCATCCAAATACACTGCAGTATTAACACAATTCTTTTGATCCTATATATAAAATACAAGCCCATGTCCTTAAATGCTAAGGAAATTTGAAGAATCTGATGCTAAACAATCTGAATTGAATTTTTCACATGTTCTGTGCCAAACTATTATCATCATCTGCTCCCAAGTTTATTCTGGATTCATTACTAAAAATGATTTTTCTCCAGTTATAAATGGACCAATTTTTGTGTTGTTTGGCTCAACTTATGCATTTTTGTCAATGAATACGAATGAGTAGAGGTTGTTGAATTTGTTGAATGAGTAACTTTTTCATTTACTCTATTTCTCATTGTGCAATCACTTACATTAACTCCTTGCATTTTTCCATTCCATATTTATTTATTTTGAAGTAACTTTATGATTTTTATGACATTTTCACTAATTCTTTATCCTGCTTTGTTTTTTTGTGATTTTTTTTACTGTTCCTGTCAGTCTGTATTTCTTCCAAACACTTGATACTGTACTACTGGCACATCCAATTAATGCTGCAACATCCTTTTGCAATTTGCCTTCTTTTCAGAAACAAATTACCCATTATTTTGTATCTTCACACAAATTAATGGAAATTAAATCACAGGAGCCATTTTTATTTGTTATAATGTACAAACATATATAAACAATTCAATGCAAATGAACTTATCACCAATATCATTTAATTGTGCATATTTCTTGCATCTAATTAGATATGCATTAACATTTNCATTGGATAATAAATCTTTACTAATCAGCACAAATTTTATCATAAATATTTTGTCATCTTAGTAAGTTATCAGTTCATGAATGTTAATCTATACAAAAACAGTTCAAAATAACAAAGCTATTTTATCAGAATTTTTGAAAAATATTGCTATTTTGAACTGTTTTGTACACATTAATGAGTACAACAATGGTCTTAGTTATTTGTTACAATAAACTTTGCACTGGTTAGTATACAGATTTGACTAATACTTTCAACATGGCTCTTTTATCGTAATAATTATTACAAATAAATAATTATTTTTTTCAATGATCAGTTCATTTCCCATCTGAGCAGATTTTAACCAGATAAGGGAAAGTCAGAGGATGTTCTAACTTCTGTGAAAGGAAGTAACATCTGTTATCTGCTCTTTTCTACTCTAAAACGTCATTTTTCTCACCAAAAATGAAGTAATATTTGGTGACACCCCAATTTATGAGCTTACCTCATGTTCCTTAAAATCTCTTGTGAACTGAAATCTTGTACATAGGGGCAGGCTTTTCCATTATTTCTTATGGCTGAAATTTAAATTCTTGTTCTGACACAATCCAGTCAACCGTACACATGTTATCCAAATAATATTAAAGTGCTAAAAAATTCCTATCTATCAACCAATCATACTAAATGAAATAAAGAAAAATTAAGTAAATAAAAGTGTTGATTAGGTTATTTGCCTTCTTAAAACAGAGAAATACGAAGTGACGAAAGCAAATAGAACATAAGAGAAGTAAACATTATAAAAACATGTCATTACCAGACATATCTTTATAATAAGAAAATAATATTTAAGACAATGAGCAAGCAGAACACAAGTAAGATAGAGTAAAATAAAATAGTTTTTTAATTAATGAAATTTTAGTCACTGATAGCATATGTAATATTGAGACAAAGTTTGCTAAACAGCATAAATATGTTGAAAAAAATTGATATTATTCATAGTTAATGAAACATAATGCAAATGAAACTGGAAAAGAGAGACTACAATTTAGAAACCATTGAACTGAAAATTTTTGTTCTTGCAAATATTGGTTGGTTCTCATTGCACTGAATTCTCATTGCATTTTATTTCATGTCGTAAATTGGGAAGCAATAAAAGAAAACGACTCAGCTGTATTGAATTCTCATGTATTGAATATTCATAAATTGGGGTCATATTGTACAGTATATTTGATTAAAACTAAAATAAAATTTAATATACTCTTTACATAACTTTACAAGCAGAATGCATTTGATACATTTTGATAAAATTTTTAGGTAATCTATCACAAATAAAAACTTCAACTCTCTGGAATAGAGACTGGCAACTACTTTTATTTGCTATGCCAAATGAAAAGACTTGAAATGCCAGTTTTATTTTCCAAATTTTCTAGGATTAAGAATAAGTATTCTATTTACATGTAAATAATCTAATTCAACATTTCAAAACCACAAAAATAAATTAAAATATTTTTATTTTGTGAATTATTAATGTTGTTATTAATACAAATTAACATTCCTGAAATAAAGTGAATGATTTTGACAAAAGGAATATGCATTACATACTTTTATCATATACTCATAAGCAAATTTAATGCAAAACAATATTCATATTTATGTTACATATGATATAGTTCTTTGGTTAATAGTTGTTACACAGTTTTTAGTAAATAAGTATGACAGAGTAATGAACTGATCTGAAAAAGTACCATTATAAGTTACTTTTCTACTATGTTCTACAACTCATGTTATAGGTATTGGTTTTGTACAGCTTTAAGTTTCAACAGTAATTGATTTGTAAACAAATTTCTAGCAAATCTAAACATAAGTAAATTTCAAAACAGTCATAAGGTATGGATACATGATGAAAATAACAGTAAGAATAAAATTGGAGAGAGGTTTGTTTTGAAATGTCAGTAAATAAAGTATTATTAGTCACCTCTCAATTTGGTGTTTTTTTTTTAAATGTTCAGGACTCAGAAGCTCTGGACTGTAATTAAAAACTGCTCCACATGCTAGGGATGTCCTGATACCACAAAAATATCAATATCATGAGTAGTTTTGAAGTATGGATATCAGTCTTAAAGCATCTATATTGGCCAGTATCAACATCAAGTATCAAAATTGAAAATCCTGCCAGCTGTCACTGTTCAATCTGTCAAGTCACCCTGCAGTTGTTTTTATTCCTGAGAAGGTACACCTATCCCTCATTTTGCACAGTGGATATATTCTAAAGAATGCTGTGTAAAAAACTTGCATAAAAAAGTGTAGTACATTTATTCAGTAGAAAAATGCTCAACAGGATCCACAACTTCAATGAAAAAAAAAAAAAAAAAAAAAAACAACTTACAAAAGAAACACCAGTTTTTTTATTCTATCATCATTTATCATTAACATTATCTGTACATAACTATAGTAAATACAAGGTAGCATAGAAAACATAAAATCAATTTACAGCATTCTCTGATGTACTGTATATAGAGTACTGTGCTTAAAAAAAATAAATCAACTCTTGATTTCACAAACAGCAAAATTTTAACAAAAAGTTAAATTTAAAAATTTTCAAATAAACTGTTTTTCCCCATGTAAAAAAAAATCAATCATGTAAAAAGAGGATTAGTTTTCTTTTGTTGACCACATTATTTCAAAATTGCATAATAAGAGGGTAGGTGTACTGTACTTATTACAATGAAGGCTGAGTGGTTCACAAGAGCAGCAATTTATATTTTGTTGCTAATATCTAGTTCAGAAATCAGTGCATCAATCAGTCTTCAGTTTACACTCATAAGATGTCATATACACAAAAGAAGCCCAGATATAGTCCTGCTAATGAGGTCTATGGATACTACTATACATTGGATGGGGTGGATAAGAAATTGTTGTTTAAAATGTAAAACAATGTCTTTACATCGAAACTTCTTTATTGTGTGAGATCGGCCAGGATGTAGATCTTAGTCTACGACACTTACGGCGCGCGATTGTGAGATCGGCTCTCGTAACTTTTTATAGGAGGGCGGTAATATTTAGGAAAAGGGGATTCAAGACTGTGAGGTCTTTATCCCAAATTGTCAGGGTCCCGACACCAGTTAATCAATCTTATAACACACGGATTAACACGCGTGAAGTAAACTTATTACGATTCATATTAAGAGACATTTTAATTAAAAACGAAATAATAAATTTAATAAAACAAGAAAATAAACTCATACAAAATGTGGATAAACGAGAGACAGAACTACTACAAATAATATACAAATCGAGCGATAGCTAAGCTTATATTATACCCTATTCGCGATCGAGAGAGAGAGCTCACAGAATCGTTATAAAACATACAACCTGTTTTAGTTGTCGTTCGTCTTCTTCTCTGTAGATAAGGGACACTTTGGAGATAAAGTTCATTTACTTCTTCGTATGGGAGATCAATAT